GCCTGGGCAACCGGGAAAAATCATTTCCCCGCGCAGTTCGGTGTCCATCGATGTCCTTTTCCAGCCTCCTCTCATCATACAAGCAAACGTCACCGGGTTGATTGACTGTCAGTTATCTGACCAAAGGGCCTTATTCTCCTCGCCGCCTATTAACAATAAACAAAATAACACCTTTCGGAATTCACGAGATCCTTTCCACATAGGAGCTTTTAACGTCAAAATGACAAACAGGCAGTGCTTGCTGAAGTCTTATACTCTCTTACAAGTGATTTATGCTGTGTCTCCGAAACAGGCATACAAGACCCGAGAGTGGTTATGTATCTCAGAAAGCCAAGAATGAACTCAGCTCTTTCACACTCCTCGCTCTGTGCCCGGTGACCCAGAAGTGATGACTCGTGGAATATATGGCATGGGAGTCGCACTCAGCCCCAGAGCTGAACACGTTTGCTGGATTAGATTCCAGTGAACAGTCATCCTTGCGCCGTCCGGTTTTCCAGTTCAATCAAGCTCAATGACTCTCGAGATGAAAAGCGGTGCCTGTTTGTAGTGTCGGCTTATGTCCCAACGGAATGCAGTTCTGGTGCCGTCTTAGCTCCTTGGAATCGCATTTGAGCGGTCGATTTGGAGTTGACGCTCGTCGCACAGACAACAGTGATCGGCTCCTTCAGTTGTGTGCTGACCATGAACTGTTTATGGCAAGTACGAACTTTCAACATAAATGCTCGCACCACGTAACCTGGCGGCGGCCAACTGCGAATCAACCATGGACCCAGTTGGATCACATGGCCATCAGTCACCGGTGGAGACCCACAATTCAAGACTGCCGTTCCTTCTGGGGCACACCACTTGATTCCGATCACGCCATGGTGCGCGCACGCCAGACAGTTCGCTTCCCTTCAGGCCCTCGCAAATTAGCAAGAAGCATGCCAATCCATTATCTTCGAGGAACGGGGATACCTCAACAGTACCAACTCTCCACAGTAAAACAATACTGTGGTGGCAGTGAGCATGTGGACGAAGCGTGGCAAAATGTGAAAGGAGCTATGCTAGTGGCGTTCAGTGCTGCCTGCCCGACTTCTCCAATTCGACCACAGGACCACTGGATGTCGTTGAGGTCGTTATCCATGATTGATGCCAGGAAAGCCATACCAGCAGGCAACCAGTACGACGGTGCACGCAAATCTCTCAAACGCCAAATAGTGAAGACTCTAAGGAAGGACTGAGAGCGGACATCGAGAGCTCGGGAGATGGAGAAGGCTTTTGCTCCGGGGAACAGCCGTGCTCTATATCAACTGATACGATCGACTGGTCCTAGGAAAGCAACGGTAAGAAAAACGATAAGTGAAAAGGATGGCTCATTAATTCACTCGCAAAAACGTCGAGTGGAAGGAAGGGCCAAACATTTCGAAGAACAGTCCAACTGGCCTCCTACAACACAGCCTGTAGAGACAGTGTGTACAGGCGAATGAAATGTAAACCTTGATCGCCCGTCGGAAGAAATAAGATACGAAATATACGTGCTAAAACGTGAGAAGGCACCGGGACTGGACGGTCTGTATCCAGCCCTCTTCAAAGAAGGCCAAAATACTTGGTGACCCATCTGACAAAGTTTATTGGTACCATATGAGACGAAGAGTAGGTTCCTGCAGAATGGGGCATATCGACGGTTGTCCCTATCTTTAAAAAGGGTACGCGGAGGCTGTGTGTAAACCACCGTGGCATCAGCCTTGTATCTGTGACATGAAAGACGCTCCCTGGTTTCATCTTTTGAAGCTTGGCCGAACAGAGGGAGGTACAGATCCGTGAGAACAAACCAAAAATGGTTCCTGGAAGTTGCCTCTGACTCTGTGGACCGTCAGGCACTATGGCAGAGTCTGTGGAGCAAAGGTGTCACCCATAAATTCTTGACCCTCCCTAAGGCGCTGTACGCCAACTCCCCCGGCCGTGTAAAGGTCTACGGGAAGCTCTCTCCTGAGTTCACCACATCAAGTGGCATCCGACAGGACTGTCCTCTTTCACCTTTGCTCTTCAAATTCGTCATCGATACGATCATGGGAGACTCACTATCAGCCTCTAATGTCTGTGGGGTCAAAGTGCTCCTTGGGCGTCCGCTCACAGATATCGAGTACACAGAAGATATAGCTCTTCTTGGATCTGATGCCATGGTAATGCAAAAAAATATTAAATAATCTTAATAATCCCGCCTCATGGTTTGGCACGGGCTTCACAGATGCAAGACTGGGTGGGCTCATACTCTAACCTCATGCTTCAGGATGAGCAGATTGAGGTAATAGACAAATTCGTTCACCCGGGCAGCTGCATCAGTCCCTGTGGTCTCACGAAGAATGATATTTCCATCCGGATTGGGAAGGCCAGAGAACCTTTTGTGAACCTGCATCACCTGTGGCGTAGGCGTGACATCAGCTTACCCGTCAAGGGTCGAGTTTATAATGCTGCGGTGCGCTCCATATTACTATATGGATCAGAAACCTGGCCGCTGCGCGCCAAGGACGTCAAAGGACTTTCAGTGTTTGACCAACGACGTCCTCGGAGCATTGCCTGCGTCTGGTGGGAACACCGGATCAGCAATGATGAAGTACGTCGAATGGTATTCGGGAGAAAAAAAACGCGCTCGATAGATCACACTGCATCAGTTGCGTTGGCTTAGTCACGTGCTGCGTATGCCAGTCGGAGCTTTTAGTTCGTGACAGTATTCTTCCAGAATAAATTTCTGTGATTGTGAAGTGATGGCGCTGAATACCAGAGCTTCTATGAGCGACGGGACTACAGGATCAAAGTATGAACCTAGGCTACCTACTTCCATATGATCAGAAAGAAAGCTCCAAAACAGCGTCACGCCCCAAATCATGTTGAAGTGGAGAGGACTTTCCAATTTTTAGAGACATCCACATTGTTTCCAGATGTGAACATCCACGTGACACGAAGCATACACGGTATGCTTAGGTTAGCACCTGTCGGTTCACCGGCGATAGGGGACAGAAGTTCCGAGAACAACCTAAAGACCGGCTTGAATCCGCCTCCATAGTACGATCCATTAATATGTACATCTGTTGAAACTAGTTGTTTATACTGGGTGTAGTGTGATAGATAAATTTAGTGGAAGCGTTGTGAAGGCCACAATCATACTTGTCAAATGGCGTCATTGGTAGCACCAAAAACGGTTATATGAAATTAAAGGGGTTAAGTGAACGGACCTGGTGAGCTTTCTCGCCTAAAACCTGCGAAGGTTAGTCACTCCGAACTGTCGATCGAAGACGTTTTCGGTCTAAGTTTCAGAACGCGGACGTGCGGGAGAAAGACGCCATCACCACGGATAGCAACATCAGCGCACAACACCGGTACTTTATTGTCCTACAGTCACGTAGCAACGTTTGCAACGCAACAGTACGTAACCGAGCACGAAGCAACCAGTTCAGCCAACTATGGAACATTTGGCGTCTTTCCAATTGACATTCCTGCATTTCCAACCAGGACCAACGATGGGTTCATGGTGGCTAAACCAACTCAAAAACTGGTGAACCGAGAGTGGGAAGCAAGTAGCCAGAAATGATCACCACTCCGGGGCTCCAGGAAAATGGTGCTAAACGGCACAGAGTTGGCCACACCATTGGCGATGTGCTCAACTATTGGTGGTTTGGTTGCATTTATCAGCTGTTGATCTGCTCGACGGGTTTCGCAATAAGCTTGCAAGCACCTCGTCAACAACCGACGTAACACTATAGCCGAGCGGCATACGGGTTGATTTTCGGAAACGCTTGCCAAGCCCAGTGGACTAGTCAACGGCCACCTAACTAACAACTAACGGTACACGATCTAAGGTTTTAATGCAAAGACTGACAATGTACTGCGCCTCTCCGATCGTTTAACTATACTATCATTTCAGCGCCTAACTTCCACGTCACCAGAAGAAAGCACGGAGGCCAGGATACTTCCACGTTGCCCAAGCCTAGACAGGGGAAGTCAAAAGGTAGAGGTCGGATTCGAATCGTCTCTCTCCACTATGTCCTCGGATCTGTTGGAAGTCGCAGATGCACACAATGAGCCATTTAAAATAGAATCTTAATCACGGTCTTAGATATGCAATGGTGATTGGCTACCCTAAGACGGAAATAAAAATCAACCTTAGTTGCTCAATTTTGATATAAAAGAGGGAGAGAGAGCGGTATGATCCAAAAGGATTAAGTTTGGTCAAAGGAAATCGAAGTTTAAACCCATGTTGTTGGACGCCATAGATGGAGGTTGCAGGGGTACTGATAGAATCGTGAATAAACAGCTTTGCAAAATGTTTCGCCCATACGCATCAGGCTTTCTTTCAAACCATCTGCCGGAGATAAGTAAAAACTCCATCTTGGAGTTCCTCGTCAGAGTAGAAAACTTTCCTGATTGATGCTGCATGTATACAACTGCTAAATTGTACCTATCGCGGAAGAATCCGTTCATTCGATCACGTGCTGCTTTTGTATCCCTCGGTGAGAAGCGGTGCATAAGATGAAAAAGTTGGACCGGCAGTGGTGAAAACAGGCTTTTACTAACGACACTCCACCCGCAGAACAGCACGTGATATCAAGAAATGGAGCCAGTAGTGTGGCACTATAGGACATGATACTAAGAGAACGAAACCGGTGAGTGATCTGAAATAAGAGTATGTAAATTGATATTCGGAAACATCAAGTAAATTATCTTGCCATCCGTGACAACTGGTCACAAAGTGAATATTTAGCAACACAAGCGAACAAGATCACCTCATGATATCATGTGCAAAAGCATGCACGTGCAATGAAGCTTCCAAAGGTATGATGGCAACACGTGGTTGGTAGTGCCTCAAACCTGCTACAGAAAAGGATACGATATGAAATCTGATAGGGCCTAGAGAAATTCCAATTCTGCGAAGGCAGGGACGATCTTAGGTGAAGAGAAAATCTGATAAATCAATTAAACGAACGAGAACAACAAAAAACGATTCGAAAGCGAAATCTTACCGGCAACATTAATTCCATAGCGCCGTGCTTCATTAGCGAACGGAGAAGAGGAATCTGGAACAAAAGCTGCCTGACGGGCCCGTTCAACAAGACGGCGAGCGCACTGATGCAAGCTCTCCAACGCATTCATATCCAGGAGCTGAAGGACACACCGGAAAGTTCACTGTAAGCATTTGAACACTGTAAACATTTGAGCAATCACAAACTGAAGGACACACCGGAAAGTTCACTGTAAACATTTGAACTAAGAGCAATCACAAGAGTAAATATGTTGTTCTGTTTTCAGTAAGAACCCGAACACGCACAGTAAACGGAAATAGACGAAAGGAGCAAGGTCGCGGCCTTTCACTTGCCGGAGGAATGTGGACCCTAACAAGTCTTGAACACATGCAACCAGAGTCTGCATTCAACCTCTACTGACTTGCTTAGCGGATTTTTGTACCTACAGCGGTAACTAGTCAAACCATAGATACCTCGGAAAAATCCTGGCTCAGTTTGGTCTATACTCCCCTAAGGAGTCCGAAAAACCCTAATGGCTAAGTAATCACAACCGAATCATCAATCGAACTGGAACGAAAACCAAGAAGAGATTGAGCTCTGGATACCAAGTTTTCGAGAGACCCAAGGCCATCGACCTGACATTCATTTCAGCAAGCACATCAGCGTTGGATAACGCAAAGGTGATAAAACACATCACAAAAGCAGACCGTCACGATTTGGTTTCCCACTGCAATACGGGTGGTAAACAATGGCTATGCAATGAACATGATATATCAGCTGAGGAATTGGGACTAGGTATCTAAATCTGTAGCGCATAACAAATTCCACTTATGGATGCCCATTTTGTAAGGGCTAACGTTCAGAAAACATGTACAACTGACTCAGTTCAGACGTTTGTTCAAATGAGGTTAGACGGTAGAATTATTTAGCACACACTAGCATCGACGTTGACTGTGCAATGCAGTGCACACTCGAAATCATAATAAACGTTTCTAACTGAAACAACCAGTTGGCGTCCATCCAAGAATTGTCACAAAGGTAGAAGTGTCAATATCAAACGACGTGAGGGAGACAATGTGAGTTTAGGTTACACAATACCGCATCAATACCAAAGGCAATAAAGTGCAAACGCTACTGCGGAAGCAGCACCTAAAGTGTCACGCTGCGTGAAAGAGACGGGAATCATTGATGCGTCTCTATCTTAATGGCTCCACGATACCCCGATCACACCATTAGCTAAAAATATGCGAATCCGACCTACTAGTCAAGCTCATCCTCAGTGTGTCCAGCGATCTGTACCGCTTTGTAGCTGAGTGGTCTGCCGTCTAATAAAGCGTAAAAGAGAAACAGCGATTCACGTTCAGGCTCTTCGAACAGGTCAACAGATGACCAACTTCGATGTATTTTCATTATTTACGAATGTGCCACTCAAAGAAACGATTGACCATGTCTGTGAGTATATTGTATACGGTAAGAGACTTTGGTATCCTTGTCTCGGAAACACTAAACTACTACTAGTCTGCACTTAAAACGTCTAGTTCAGTTCTAACACAATACGCCGACAGCGTGACAATGAATTCCTTATGAAACTCCCCTTTTCCAGACTTCCTTATGAGAAACTTCGCTAGTCCAACAATGCACAATCTGTTGTGGATACGTAAATGTTATGTCAAGCTGCTTCAGTGCCTTTGTGCCGGAAAAAGGACTCGCCAGCGAAAGAACACAACAGCTCTATTGCAACAAGCGAGTGCAAAACTCACAAGGAGGTTCGCGATATTTAAGGGTCACTTTTTGACACTGATCGGCGTTTAATGGTCACCCATCAACATCGACCGGGGTTTCTATGAAATCTCTGAACACTTATTATAGTCCATCGGGCTTCTGCAGCGTGCCTGAACACTCTCCGGCCTTTGCTAAATTGATTGAGTGATTGACTGACCGGGGTGATTGGCGGATTCCTTATAGAGATTTTGGTAGAGTTTCGGGGTCTCAGTGGGTTTCGAGCATTCTGGGTTTATTTTCAGGAATCTGACCTTCCTGACAGTAAATGACATTTTCGTGAGTGTAGATGAAAAGATCATTTCTCTTTCGTCCTGGAACACCACAGGTCAGCATCCAAGCTGAATACAATAGCCAATTGCAGTTCCTCAATGTCGGCATAAATAGAGGAAACGGAAGTATTCGGGGCAAAGTAAACGGGAAGTGGAAGGAAATCAAGTTATTGTTACTCGTATTGTTGCGTACAACATGAAAATACTGCGTGTCCCGTGGTAGAGAAAGTGACGAGATGAGCATAAGGATGAAAAGGAAAAAGGAGGAGGTTTTGGAGAAATAAGCTGAAGGTGAAAGTACGAGACGCTGCGAAAGTAAATAACACAAGCAACGTAGACTCACTTTAACGGTACCAACTTCTTGTAGTATGACAGTTTCGGTTAAATTGTCGAACAGCCCGTCCGTCCCGACGACCAACACGTCACCGGGTTCCACAAGCATCGAAGTTTGTACAGCCTGAGTCGGACTGCAGAGAGAATGAGTATGCATACACGACAAGCCATGAAATGAGTTACGTTACGTTAGCTGTGGTTCTTTCCGATACAGCTGGCACTAGGAGTATTGGAAAATATATTACACTACTCGGACCAAGGCAGTCTCTTGACCGCAAGCTGACTATCTCCTGAACTAAAAGCGAAGAAATAACAGGCTAGGTTGTACTTGTAACTCGCGACTAATCAATTTTAGATATTTCGCCGGAAACTCGAATCGAACCAGGGTACAAAGGATAGAAAAGACCTTTGTAGTGTGTCATGGATCGTTTCAAAGAAATATTTCTATTTACAGGCGAAATATGAGTTTGGACGGATTGTTTCATATAGATCTTAGAAACAACGGAAATCAATAGTACATCTTAGGAGAAAAACCACACAAAAGGGGCGTATTTTTGGCTACATCTAAAGGAAGCAAATTAAGATATTCATCTGTCCTATGTAACAGTGGAGGAAATCACGAGTAAACTCTCACTAATGTCATAAGTAGTAAATTTTCCCATTTTTAATGTCCAAATGAGGCAATACATCTGATGTTATGAATAGTTATCCGAAACATACATCTACGTCGATCTGATTTATTTAGAACAGTGGCTATCAACCATAATTGTGCTTCAGGCGACAGTGGATAGTGGAATTTGAAAACACAGATGGGTAGATATACATTCCCCGAATCTATCGCAATATCTCTAAAAAACAACCTCAGCATAAACAAATCAGTCCTCGTATGCTTCGAATGAATCTCTCACCGACCATTGCAGAGGCACCACTCACCAAACATTGCTTTGCCAAAGACCCCAGGGAAAGTTCGTACTCAGCCAAAAAATAGAAGGAAGATTCTGCCCAAAACTTGCTTGGGCAAAATACAAAGTTTAACAGTGGAGACACAGAACACCCCAGTATGCGTGATCGATTAACCACCTTGAGTTTTCAGTTAAGTAAATTCCGAAAAGAACACAGATGGGTTGACGAACATGTTTTCGGCAAGGTCTTTTCAAGTCTTATCAAGTAAGGATGGTATGAACTGCGTATACACTCCAAAGGGGATTCTAAACTCATCAATGATATTTTCCCAGAAAGGGCAAGTACTCTGTGTTTCGCTCACAACCACGTGTTTTGCAGTGAATATTCTGGTAGGAATCAGCACCCACGATACCTATTCACACATCCAGACTTCGTGGAATGAACATATCCAACCGGTTCACGTTGTGCGCATGTTACTACGATCAAGTTTGCATTTGTTCAGTACCACGTCGGGGAACGAATGCATTCATAGTAAAGTTATCTGATGCCGTCAATGCGCCTCCCACGTCCTATTGTGTTGGAGGAAAACAACGACGTATTTCGAGGATACGAGTAGTGCGACTTTGAAGTAAATACGCTCGATAATGTCATAACACCCAACCAAACGGGCCGAGTTGTGTGGCGTTTGAGATACAGAGACTAAAGCCTATGAGGAATGATTGTGCTTGATATCTTGCCCGCATAAGGAGATACAACAGCGGAAAAATACAAAGTGGCAGAGAGGTTACACGGGGTTCATAATGCCAATCGTATTGACTGATGTTTTATCACTACGAACGAGTATATAAGCCGACTGTCACAACCAATGTGTTTTGAGCAAAAGCGTAGAAAATGAATAAGTCTAGCATACGATTTGAGTGGTCGAAAAGCAAACCATTGTGGTTGCGGCGCAACAAAGGAAGTGTATGGTTTGTACGTAGTCCAGGTGTCAACATACACTTGGCTGATATGGCCAACTAATGCGCTTACGTATGACAGAACGGAAAGCTCAAAAAGAGGAAGAACCCCTAATGTTGGAGCTTAGTGTAACCAGAACAACGACGAGATCACCGTAACGGATTAAGTAGAAAGAAGCGAATGGAAGTGGATGATACTGTCGAAGACTTGCGGTCGGCCGAACTGTACTCGAAAACGGAATGCACTAGTATGCACACTGAGTGCATGGAAAAGCATCAAGCAAATATAGAATAATGAAGCACGTCCTGGTTATGTGATCCTCAGAAAAAGCTTGCGAAAGCCGTGTGTACAGTGCCAGGCTCGGTTAGTGACTCTTCGAGAAGAGTGGCTGTGGAAAACACACTTGTGCTTGATGCATCAGACCGCCATTACGGCTATACAGTTGTCAATCAGCTTAAGGAACAGGGACACAACTAGAAAATCAGCTGCAAAACATGGAGTAAACGAATAAAGTTCAAGATGACGGTGAAAAATGAGCTCATTTACGTAGCATTTGCGTACTGAAACGTGAGAAGGCACCAGGACCGGACGGTCTGTATCCAGCCCTCTTCAAAGAAGGCGGAAAATCCCTGGTGACCCACTTGACAAAACTTATTGGTGCTATATGGGACGAAGAGAAAGTGCCTGCAGAATGGGGCATGTCGACGGTTATCCCCATCTTCAAAAAGAGTACGCGGACGCCATGTGAAAACCACCGTGGCATCAGCCTGTTAGCTGTGGCATCGAAGGTGCTCTCTGGCCTTATCCTTCGAAGGTTGACTGAACACAGGGAGAGGCAGATCCGTGAAAACCAAGCTGGGTTCCGTCCTGCAAGAGGTTGCATCTACCATATCTTCACCCTCCGACAGCTTCTGGAACAGCGATACTGCTTCCAGCAACCAAAAATGGTTGTGTTTCTTGATCTGAAAGCTGACTTTGACTATGTGGACCGCCAAGCACTATGGCAGTGTCCGTGGAGCAAAGGTGTCCCCCATAAATTCTTGACCCCTC